TTTTTTTTTCCCCCCCCCCCCCCCCCATTTGTTTTGTTTCTTTTTGTTTTAAAATTTTCAGCAACAGAGGCTGAATGTGTGGTCTCTCCTCCTTGTTCTCCTCTTTTGTTTGATCTTTTTGGCATTCATTTATAAAGAGAGCTGCTCTTCTGGAGATACTCCCACAAATTTTTGCACTTGTGCTAAGACCTCTGCGGAAGCCAGGCACCCTGTGGGCCTCTGAATTACAAGTACTGTTTTGGTGGCACCTTGCATCTTTGGGCTTCAGCTATTGCCAAACACCTAATGAATGTAAGAAGAGTAAAGCACTTCTGCTGTGAAGTCTGCTGATACATAAGGAGTTAAACTAAGCTCTGTTTATCAATGTTGATATTTTAAATTGTGCCAGAATGCTTTGAAAATGTGACAGTGGACAGGGCAGCAGGCAGTAAACACTGTTAAATGACAATACTGTTCGATATTTGCTGTTAATTGAGAGAGGCAGCAGCTGCTGGTATGCAGCTTCAGCCAGGATGAATTAGTAATGAGTCTGTAACTCTGGGGTTTTTTTCTGGTTTAAAGTTGCATCAGCCCTTTACGGTTCAGTAGCATGCTGGGGATAGAAATAAAAAATCGTAGCAGGTCCTAAATTGAAGATTTTATTTTGTTTTCCAGTGAGTTGTCATGGAGCTGTGGTGTCAACGATAAATTTGGTAACAGTAATAAAATTGCCTTGCATTTAAGGGCCAAACTAAAAGGTTTTGGGTTAGCTTTTCCATCCTGTGTGGCAGACAGTGGGAATGTAGCAGGCAAAGCAAGCTCCTCCTTTGAAAGAAAGCACTTTTGTTAATTTCTCACTGTTTTCCAAAGATATTTTCAGTTATGGTTTCTCTGAACAGGAGTTTTAGTTTAACTTTCTTTGCTGGCCTGCACTACAGGTCATGGTATATGAGAGTTCTAGCCCTTGCTGGAGGGAAGTGCTGCAGCAGGAGAGGGAACACTAATTCAACATTTTCCTTGTGCTTTGTTTGCACTTTTGCCGTGCAGATGTGTTGAGTTTAACCTTTGAAAACTTGCTGATAAGCTGCTATCAGCCAACATTTAAAATAACAAACCCTCCCACCTTGCTGAGTTGGGATAGGAGCTTCCCAAGGCTTCATGGCTGGGGTATTGTACAGGAACAGCATTAATCCAGGCAGAGCAGCCAGGCTGGAGACAAAGTTTACTCTCTGAAGAAATCAGTCACAGCTGCTACTTTCATGCTGCTTATGTAACCTTCCTTGTAAGTATTTTGCACCAAACATTTTATTTTGAACTATATATGTGATCGTGAGAGTGCAAAACTGTGTTATAGTGGTTAGCAGAATCTTTAAGAGATCTTAAGTTGGGCACAGGAAATGAAATTCTAGCTCCGTTGAAAACAATGCTGACAGCCCTATTGATTTCAGTACAGCTCGGCTTTCACCACAAGTAGAAGAATTTCGAAGCAAATAATGTTTTGTTTGTTCATTTATTTAAACAAAATCCATCTGCAGGGGTTAGTGTTTGAATCCAAATACTCAGAATTCTGCTGGTGTTTTGTTAGGATGAGAAATATTACATTGAAAGAATTCCTTGGGTTCATGATGATTAAGTTAAAAAGGAAAAAAATCCAATCAGCAGATATGTTTCCAGTTTGTATGATTTCTGTATTATGTATGTTTGGTTTTTGTATTTGTTCTATTCACATTAGCAGTTTTTACCAAGTGGGTAGGTGCATTTATTCATTTTTAAGAGCTTAAACCTGCAATACACCATGATGTCTTCTGTATTGGCTTATAGATCATAAAATCTTTCAGGCTGAATCTGGAAAGCAAGTGTTAAAAGCCAATGGAATACTAGAAAAGGTGATGGTAAATGGAAGTGCAGGAAGAGCTAAACCCAACTGGTGGTAAAAGTCCTTCAGCCCTGGAAGTCTCTTCTCGTCCAGGGTACTGACAAGTCCTACCTTTGCTAGCAGTTATCAAATGATGTTTTAAAATCTGTCCTTAGAATGCAGTATTTTTTCATGTGAAATTCAATAATTTATTCCAATGGCATTCTGCCAAATTTGGGCATCTAGTGTCTCATGTTTTTTATGAACATCTCTCCAATTTTATGTGCTGTTTTCTGTATAAGTGAAATGTGTTTAAAACTATAATGTAATCAAATACAGTCTTTCCTTTTTTGTGTATTTTTATTCTCTCAAGTCTGTATTATTGTTTTATCTGTAGTATCTACTCACAATGTTTGTTTTCTTAAGCAAGAAAATAAACCTTGGTGTGTTTACATGCATCATTCCTGTCTTAAAACAGGGGTAAAAATTGTAATTACTGGCTTTTGGTGCCTTTTCTCATTCATTTAATAGAACCATGTAATTTTCTTGTAAACAAAGGCAAATATTTACATTTTTAATATATAAAAATGTATAAACTCTAAAGTTTGTCTAATAAACCTGTTCAAATGTATGTATATTTGCTCTGTTTTTAATATTGAAGTATCCCGCCTTACCTCTGTTGGAAGGAGTTATTAACAGCTTAATAAACATTGCTCTCAGCAGTGTGCTAATTAGGAATTAAATTATATACTTATGTCGTATGTTCCTTATTTCTAGAAGGTTTTTTACTAGGTGTTTGATATGATCTGTAACAAGGTGTATACATGTTCATCTTCTATGGAGTGGCCAAATGTCTACACTGCTAAGGAATTTGGATGCCACATCTCACTCTTTTTTGTGTTGTGTCCGTGTCTCACACTCAGGACATGTCCATGTGGCTGCTGTACTGGTGCCAGTGAGTTGCTGACTGGGTGCTTTTGTAAAACTACTTGGGCACCAGCTCATACTAGAATAATGCTGGTATTGATGACCAGTTATTTCAGCTTGAGGTAGTATACAGCAGGGCTCTGCTGACTTACCTGATCTGGGGATTTTATTTTTCTCTGCAAACTGTTGAGTAAGATGGGAGGAGTCCTCCATCAGGAGCATTGCCACTTGCTTAAATAACACAATGTGAAAGCACAGCAAGAGGGTTTGGTGCTCTGGTAGAATTACCTTCTGCTGCTGGTGGTGGAAGGGTGTAAATGGATGAACAGATTTACTACAGTTGTGTGTCTGTCATTGCCAATATTGATGTATTGCCTCCAAGAAGGTGATTGACCTGCAAATTATTCTGTAAATAAATGGTTAATACAGAGCTGCTACAGGGCAACAGTGGTTGCAATTCAGTACTTTCTTGTGCAAGAATATTGCTATATCATCCTCCTTTCTATTGCCTAAATACAGCCTCTGAATATAGCGTAACCTTGACTTCACAAGCTTTCTCTTATTGGGAATGTGGAATTACCTTTCCTGTTTCTGTGGCAAATTAGAGGAGGAGAGAACTAATACAGTGCTAAAATGAAATTACAATGGTGACAAGACTTACAGTGTTGTTGGTGAAAGACCAGCAAATGTGTGCTGTGTTGAGCTATTGGTGCTGGGAATTTGTTTTGCAGAACTTGTTCTTGCTACTCCTTGGTCAGTCATTTTTAAGGCATCTTCAGTAGAATTTATTCAGCTTCTGTAATTGAACTGTTTTTCTCAAGTACAAGATTTTTCATGTTTGTTTCGTGTAACAGTGTAACTGTTATTCTCTTAAGTTGTGTGTATAATTGTAATGACCAATTCACAACTGTCCTTTTGAGATTGTTTTTCTGATGTTACTATTAAAAGTGACTCTTTCAGAATTTGTGACTGCCAGTAATTAAATGTGCGAGAATAAGAGAATAGCAGAAAAAGTTGTGAGGAGCATGGTGTGAATTGCTCTGTGGGAGGGACCCCTAGAAAATAAACAGCTCCCACTGATAGTCATCACTGTCTTCTATACAAAAGTGCTGGTGGCACCTTCTTTCTTGCTAAGGATTGTTATTATAGATCTCATTATTGTGTTTCCTACATAATTTTTAAAATAAACCTGAAAGTTAATCTTGGGTTAAATTGAAGTATGCGGTTTTGATATGGGAGGGGAATAAGTGACACTCCTACTTCAGAAAAAAGTTAGGAATATGCTGAACTTCCCGAGTTGTCTTGAGACCAGCTGAATTGCACGTGGTGCATAACATGAGGCAGATGGTGCCTATGTTTTTGCAAGGCCATATAGCTTTTGTTGTCTAAAGTCTCTTAAATCTGGCAAGACAGTTGTGCTGCTATTACTGAATCTCTTCTTCAATGTTGTAGTAGCCTTATTGTGTTTGTGATGATTAAGGATATAAGGAAAACAATGTTTGCAGGTAGAGGTAATTTCTTTTTAAGACCAGTTAGTTTAGTGTTTGCATTAAAGGCTAGCATTAGCCAGTTCTGTAATTTCAAGATGTTGATTATCATTACTTTTATGAAGAACTGGGCTAAATCTTGCAGCCTTTTAGATTTTTGTGGGGTGGGAAGAAGATGCAGTAAGCTCAGGATTGGAAGTCTCAGTATTTGTTGTCTCTCTGCTTGCATGTTTCTGATAGCAAGAGGAATAATGGTTTTATGAGTTGTATATATGTAAGAGGACTGTAATAACTTATGCTTTTCCTAAAATTTGCTTAAAATTAGGAAACAAATAACTTGGAGTTTAGGTATGAAATTAAGTGTAAAAAATCGTTAATAGATTATCTTGAAGTATGCTATTTTAAAGTCTAATCCAGTCCTGAATGATGTAATTTTGTAATAGGGAAGCTCTGAGCTCTTTTACTGGAGCTGCTTGATTTAGATTAAAATTGTACCATAAAAGGATTATAGAGTTTATGCCTGTGCTAAGAAAGGATGTACTAAATGTGTTGAGGTCTTTTTCTACTCCCAGCTTCTTTTTGAAAGTGCATACTTAATTTTGGATGTTTTCTGCTGCATTTAAATGTGCCACATAACATCAGAATGTGCTAATGAGATGTTTCAGATTGATCTTGGGAGCATTTATTTAAATACATTTTTGTTCAACAGGATTCTGAGTTTTCTTGTTCTTCTTTCTAGAGAGAAGAATTCAGTGTTGGGCTGTCCTAAACATTACTCATGGTGCAACTTCAGAGAGCAGCTTGATTTATCTGACTTGAAGAGGAGGCACATGTGCAGTAAGCCAAGAGGACATGGGCTTTCAGTGCATTTGGAAAAATGATCAGGTATCAGCAGTTGTTGATGTTTAAACTGTAGTAACTAGTCAGAAACTTGAGAAGATGTGAAGCAATAATGCAGTCACTGCTGCAGTTGTCCTTAAATTTTAGGTATGCTTTCCTTTCAATGGTAGGAATGAGATAAGTTTACCTTATCATTTTATGTTGTGTCCATAGCCATTTCACTGCTGAACTTGCTCACTTGCAGTAGGTCACTTGTGGACACCTAATGGGATCCAGTTCAGATGTGAGTGAACAGAAGGGACAAGTGCCAAAGGGGTGTTTGCATAGACTGAGTTGAAGTTAATCTTACAGTGTTTAGATTTTCCAACTATAACTCGAACTCTGTGGAAACATTTGGATCTATTAATTCAGGTTTATTGATTCTGTGAGGGCATAACTTTGATATGTTACTTTTCTATTGTTATAAGTAGTTTTTCATTGTCCTTACTCGGGTGATTGGCTGGAGAATGCAGGTGTCCTCACAGGAATCGAGGCTGTCGCGGTTGGAGTAGAGACACCAGCAAAGTTCCTGAAAATGCAGGGAGTCATGCTTCATGTTGAAATCTGAGCAGGTTATAGGTTCAATAGTGTAAGAGCTATATGTTTTTAGCTATCTGTTTGTTTTCAAGCAGCTGTTCATAGTTTCTAAAATAATGTCAAATGTCTAAAGTAGTGTCAAACTTTACTATTGGAGGTAACTGCTCTGCATAGATACTTGGATTAGCTGGCTTACTTGTTGCTGGTTCTGTGTCTGATGTCTGTTGCCATAGGTAGTGCAGAGCTTGTGCATCTCTGGTGTCCTGCCTCCAATACTTCCTTTTGGCCAGTATCAGCCATGATCAGGGACTTGCTTTAGCAAGCTCGCAGCCCATTTTGTTATAGTGAAGGGGGATTTGTTAAAAAGTAGCTTGGCACTTCTGAGGTAGACAGCATTTGTTTGTTTTGTACTCCTGTTCACAGTTGTGCTGCCTGTCTTTGAGAAGACAGAGCCTGCATCACGGAGGAGGTGACTGCTGTCTGGGGACAGCCGGGTTCAGCTCAGGAAGAGAAGCTTTGGGAGGCTGAGCAGGGCAGGGGAGGAGGAAGGAGTGAGAGATGCAGTAGGCAGCCAGGACCCTGCAGCTCGTGCAGGGAGACTAAGGTAACACCGAGAAGCAGACAGTCCTCAGAGGTAAGAAACTTCCCTAGGGACCAGACAGTGCTCTAGCAAAAAAACGCAGAGTTTGCTGCAATTTGGACATTGAGGGCTAAATGGAAGCCTGGAAACAAGGCACAGCAGGCAGGGAGGGTCATATATAACCCCTTCCTATTTCTAGTCTGATTGACCTGGTCTTTCCAAGTTTCCGTTGCTGAAAGCATTCTAGTTCATATTCTAAGAAAACTTGGCTTTTTTCTTTGGGGAGCTCCCCGTGAGGCAAAGGTTTCTGTGTATTTGGCAAAGAGCTCTGACTGAAGACTCCAGCCTCGGACAGGCTGATCCTGTTGACTAATTACAGTTTCATTTTCTGAGGAGTAGCCAGCCACGTAAGAATACCTTTGGACACGATAGACCACTTAGGACACAGGGTTAGGAGCTTTAAGATGCATTTTGGTCTTCAAGTGTACTATTCTTCCCCTCTGTCCTCAAAGTGAATCTTTATGGTCTGCTGTCTTTTTTTGAAATGTGATGTAAATAGCAGGAGGTTTCTTTCTTTGTCTCATATTCTCTAATCTTCTAATGCATCTGTGTGAGCTTGTGATATTTTTTTGTAATGTATATTGCCTTCAATATTAGCATGATACTTAATGTGTTTTGGATATTGCTATTCCTAAGAATATATCATCTGTTGAATCTGTGTCATATATGCAGTTTTTCAGTTTAACTACACCTATTTTATGTATTAAAAATTAAATGGTAAAACTTGTATGTTACCAAACCTGCGTATATCGCATATACATGAAGAACTGAAAAGGAGCAAATTGTATAAAATTTCTGTAATCTTTTGGGAATTAAGTTTAGAGGAATATTAAAAAAAAAATAGTTTCTTGTTTTCTTTATAGATGCTAGCTGAAAAATCACTTGTTCTTGTCTCTTAAACTGTAAAATTATCTAACGTTTTCTTCAGTTAGTGAATGGATATATGCACAATGCAAGAAAAGATTTAAGTTGCTTCACTCAAGGAGACAGAATGGTTTTATTCTATACATTTTCTTTATGTTTGTATGATCTTTGTCATGAGAAGATACTTATTGCAGAGAAAGCTATGGATGTGTAAGTTTTAGGAGGTGTCTGAGCCACCTCTGAGTGGGATTTCAGGAAGATGTGAGGTGGATCTACATTTTGGATTCATTTCTTAATATAAAAGCTGTCAATTTTTACCTGTTCTATGCGGCCTGGTGGGTGCTGTAGAGGCAGAGCATCCATATATTTAGACTCTAGCTGTCTCTCGTTACGAGTTATAATTAAGGTGAAGTATTTTACCAAAGAATTAAATTCTCCCTTGATTTGAACCTGGTTCAATTAGTTGCATGAACTACCCTGTCCTTGCTTCATCAACAATAATTCATCAGTTGCTTCATCAACATTGCTGCTGCTTATTTATCTTATTTTTTTCAGTTAATAGGCAAGGCACTCTGTATTGGAGTGCTGTATGCATAGTAGTAGTGTAATAGAGGTGGCTTAAGGATAGAAAGTACAGCTCCTAAGGGGGACTATGACATTTACAGATGGCATGTAATGGGAGAGCAAGTGAACCAGGCAAGCTTCTAATCATGTAGTCTGTCATTTTTTTTCCTCCAGTATATTATATCTTTTGTGAAAAGTATACAAGCACTTTCTGTATACCTTTCCTTACTAATAAGGGGTAAATTGGAGTTTGAGCAGACTCACATCTCTCTGCTTGAAGGGAAGCACAGTCACCTTTTTTACTCCGCTTATGGAGGACTATAGGTTATAAAATACTTGTGAAAGAATTGTCCTGGAAGGTCCCAGGGTTAATGCTTCAGCTGACATGTTTTTTGAACATGGCTGTCATTCTTTCTCTCTTAGTCATGACTTGAATTTATTAACATGGTGCTTATTTTCCCTGGATGGGAAAACCCTGTGAAATACAAAGCTGATGGTTTGATTGAGTTGGAGTATTAGGACATTGGCTAACTTTTATGTGCCCTTTTGATGAAGGCTGTTTAAGTTTTGGTTGTCCCTTAAGGTCAGCTCTATGACTTAATTCAGAAAGCAAATATTTGGTATGCCATACAGCATCTCCTGAGAGTGTCCTGCTTTGTGGTGCCCTCAACATCATACTGTATTGTCCAACATTGTGCTTGAAAACAAGGATCAAAATCACCACCGCTGACAAGTTTAATGTTCTCAATCCAAATATTCTGGACCAAAAATCTCTTAATCATGATTGTAACTATTTAAAGTGTTGTCATAACTCTTCATGAAGTGAGTAATTCTGTGTCGTGATACCTCAGACAGATCAAGAGGACTCTTCCAGGGTCTGCATTTAGCAGCAGGGGAACAGAAGTTGTCTCTTGGGAGAGAGGAGAAAAAAAAAAGCAGTAAGTTTTAAAGAAAAAGCTACTAATAGCTTCATGACTGATGCTAGTCTGGGAGGAAGATGCTGAGCAGGTTTTATTTGTCTTGAGAATATTTACATAGGGCTGATCCACTGTTCTTGAAGGAACTTTATCACAGTACTACAGAGAAAACTGTTAGTACTAAATATAGTGCCTTATTCTGGCAGTCTCTGACTTATAAATCCTTGAATTCTGCTGTCTTAATGGGCTTTCAGCAGTTTTTATATTTTTTTTTGGTAGAAATCTGAATAATATTCCTCAGAGAGGTTGTATAACAGTAACAAGGATGGAAAGATTTTATTTGGCAAGACCTCGTACTGCAAAAGATCAGATTAATTTTTTAGCTTTAGTCTTGCTGCAAAGCTTTCAGTACTTCAGTGTCTTCACAGAAGAGGCCTGAAAGGTTGCAGAAGATCATCTTGACCCTTTGCATCAAAGGATCATCCCTATTGCTGAACAATTCTTGAGGTGATTCCCCCCCCCCCC